GCCTGGATGTGTGGGGGTCGGTTGGAAATAATCCCCTGTTCGCATGTCGGACACTTGTACAGGCCGCGTTTTCCATACACATTTGGTAAAACGCAGTATGTGCTTCAAAAAAACTGTCTCCGGGTAGCAGAGGTGTGGATGGATCAATATAAAGTCTTTTTTCACAACAGGATTTCCGCTGCAATGGTTGGTCCTGTCTTTGTAGTATTAATGATAAGATGCATATGATGAAAATGAATCAAATGCGTCAGAAACAAGGAAGATGTAGGGGACATCGAAAAAGAAGATTGATTAAAGGAATCACTGATACCTTCAGCTTGCAAAACATCACAACAGACCAGGTAACAGTGTCCAGCTCAGATATTGATCATCTGTTAACCCTTTACGCCTAGCTGCTAAAGGCAAATGTACATAAAAGAAAGAAGATATGGCGTTGTTAATCTTTCTGCCACGTCCTTCAAACACGACGTTAAACTTATTTCAGGAATTGTTACGGTTGGCCTTTCATCCTAAAATGTACTCGAACCAGTGGAATTCAAACTTCTAAACTACAATACAGGAGTGAGAATTTACAACTGTGGGAGAGAGAGAAGGGAAACAAAATCACAATATACATAGAAAAACAATACCTCCAGTAAGCAAAAGACTTCAAGTATGTAGGGAGAATATTATCATCCGATAACAGAATTAGGTATAGAAAAATCACACATATAATAAATTAAACCAATTCATTGAACACATACATTTTACAGAACAAACATGCCAGAGTAGACATTAAAAGAGCACTACTCAATACACCATTTTTTTTTTTTATTAGACAAAAAAAAAAAAAAAAAAAAAAAAAAAACTACCATTGCATTATTAGTGCCAAACATAGGAATTAACAACAAAAGAAGAAGAAAAAAAAACATAAATGAAATGTTTAGAGTGAATCCTAAATGTAACTAAAACAGACAGGATCAGAATTTGGATATCAAGAAAGAAGTTGGAACGGAACATGTATTAATACATCAACAGACAACGGATTGAACGATTTAGAGCTTAGACTACTACTAGACAGTCCATCACAGAGAGCTCCCTCACACATACATAATGGAAGCAGAACCAGAGATCGACCATGCAAGCGATGGATAGGTGGGTAACCTAGGCGGTAAATACAAGCCTCTGCGAAGCACATACTGAGGTTGTCACCCGATACCTCTTTATAAACCTGACCCCGAGAGACATAACAGGACTAGCGGAGGATGAATACTAGAGCAGGACGAATAGGAAAAGAAGAAGAAGAAGAAGAAAAGGAAAAAAAAAGAAGAAGAAGAAGAAGAAGAAGAAGAAGAAGAAGAAGTAGTAGAAAGAGAAGAAGGAGAAGAAGAAGAAGAAGAAGAAGAAGAAGAAGAAGAAGAAGAAGAAGAAGAAGAAGAAGAAGAAGAAGAAGAAGAAGAAGAAGAAGAAGAAGAAGAAGAAGAAGAAGAAGAAGAAGAAGAAGAAGAAAAAAAAAGAAAAAGTAGAAAGAGGAGAAAAAAAAAGTTTGGCACCATAACATGGACAAGCATCTGCCTCACATATTATAACATTCCCCGCCCTTTCTTCTTCTTCTTCTTCTTCTTCTTCTTCTTCTTCTTCTTCTTCTTCTTCTTCTTCTTCTTCTTCTTTTTCTTCTTCTTCTTCTTCTTCTTCTTCTTCTTCTTCTTCTTCTTCTTCTTCTTCTTCTTCTTCTTCTTCTTCTTCTTCTTTTTTTCTTCTTCTTTTTCTTCTTCTTCTTCTTCTTCTTCTTCTTCTTCGAAAAAGAAGACCAGGAGGCGCCAGTTAAATTATGTCTGCAGCTTTTTCGGATTATCGTTATTGCAGTGTATAGTCTTTGGCTGGCGCAGGCTGTGTGTAGAAAAAAAATCGTAATGTTTAATAGGTTTTCTTTAAAAAAAAAGGTGGAGGATTGAACGTCACTCATTGAATAATGACATTAACCCTAAGTTGCTGCCAAATAAGGTTGGGTACCAGATCTGTTAGCCAAAATACTTTGTTTTGCATTTCCTCCCTAAAGTGCTCTCCGCCCTAGGCCGTGAGATTAAGGGAATCTTAACCATGAAACCATAAAGTCTATCGCATATGAAAGTAAACAGTTGAGGAAACCAATTAGACAGTTAACAACAACAGGTGACCCAACACGCAAAGATATGGGATGATGATGATGATAATATGTTCAATGGAGGCAAAAAAGTAGAGGAAACCATCATTAAAAAGTTGGAAAACATGAATAGTTGCTTAAAAAAAAAAAAGGCAATCTACTAACCAAAACAAAAACAACGTGAAAGGAATTACTGTATAATCCAACTTTTTAGTGTAATGCAATTCTCAGTATGTTGTAAGGTTTGGAGGAAAAAAAAGACAAGACAGAAGTGAATTTTTTTTTTATTTTTTACTTTGAAAAATGTAAATTAACATATATTTCAGAAAGAAAAAAAAAATTAAATTAAATTAAACAGCCGTTAGTTTGATTTTTCTAAGAAACTGTTAATTTAAACTTACCTTCTACTTAGGGGAAATTTGGGGGGTGGGGGGTTTGGAAGGGGTAGGACGGAGACGGTCTGTCTAAGGAATATTTGAATGATTTGGTATACTAATCAACATAATTTTCCTTTTTTAAAAAATATATAAATGTTCATCATGTGCAGCGCCAATACACGATGATTTCAGTGAGTGGTTTGCAGTTAACACCAGAGTTAACCAGGTGACTGGGTTAAGCAGTCTCGGCCTGGTTATGACAATCCTGACAATTCAAATTTATTCATGCACCCACACACACCCATATATATATATATATATTTTTCCCACTTCCCCTCAATGGGGTTCAATCCATTTGAATCTTTCCAAGTTACCTTCCCACTCATGTGGTTCAAGGCTTCAGACATTACAATCCCACCATTTGGGTTAGTACCTTCACCAATTATAATTCTACCCATGTGGGTTAATTCATTCACAAACTATAGTTCCCACCCATGTGGTTTAATGCATTTACAAATTTTCGTTTCTCACCATGTGGTAAATATATTCAAATATTATGGCTCCACCCATGTGGTGTAATAGTCACAAATTATCAAGTACCACCCACCCACGTGGTTAAATACATTTTCCAGTTTATGGGCATACATCATTCTCCATATTCATTATTTCCCCAATTTCCTTGGGTACCCTTAGTAATATAAATTACTTAAGTAGAAAGAAAAATAATTCTCAAAATTAAATCATCTACACAGATCCATCATTTCCCCAATTATCCTGGGTACTCTTAAGAATATCCATATCTCAGTTAAATAATTCCCCCAAATCTAAATCATTTTACACAGATCCATCATTTCCCCAATCTAAGCACTTGTGCCCAGAAGGAAATATCCATAATGGTAGCACTGAACCAAAATATACAATTTTCAATGCTTTGTAACATAATGTACATATAATCAAAATAAAAATAACACTTGTACAAAAGGCCACATAGAGCTCTAGGATACCTTACCCCCTTTTTTTCTGAATGCAATACACTCTTAACCTCGCGAGATGGTGTCAGATGTTAAAGACTACAATTCTCCGAAAATCGTGATTCGGTCACGGTGGCTAGAGTTGAAGAGAACGGAAGTAAGATTCCCCCCCCCCCCCCTTTTTTTCCCCCGGAACTAGCTCCTATGGGTATAGCTATTTTTTTTTTTTTTTTATAAAATTCCTTACGTCCTTTTCAGGACGTAATTTTTTGTTATTTGAAGCCCCACTCTGGCTTTTGCCAGGGGCCGCAATATAGGCAGGCTATAAAAATGAATACTATGACGTGGTTTATTTATATGTACTGCCGATAGGTATGTACGATATGTCGGCGCAAGCTATGTCCCATGCACTGGAGTGGTTTTCCATGGTGTACCACTGCCATTTCGTGACAGGGAGGTTGGAAGAGTTAGGACGGAGACGGTCTGTCTAAGAGATATTTGAATAGTTTGGTATACTAATCAAAATAATTTTTTTTTCTAAATATATAAATGTTCATTATGTGCAGCGCCAATACACGATGATTTCAGTGAGTGGTTTGCAGTTAACACCGGAGTGAAACAAAGATGCGTGTTGTCTCTTTTGTTATTCAGCATAACTACTGACTGGGTGATTAGAAATGTGTGCAGGAAACACGGGCATTGACTAAATGAGTAACATACGATTCGAGGTTCTTAATTTTATAAATGATTATGTTCTGCTAAGTAAGAACATCAATGAAATTGAAAAAGAACTATGAATTTAGCTAATAGCTTTAACAGTCTGACTACAAACGAGTTATGAAAAGGTGAATGTAATAAATATATCATTGTTCGTTGTTTGTAGCACATTGGACATGACCATATATTGCTCTGATCTCCTCCTGATTATTTCTTCAAGTATTTTAGGCGAACACTTCCATTTTGATTCTGGTTAATGTAACGAAGAGTTGCTCCGGGGTGGTTTTCCTGGCTCGCTGCTCCAATTGGTACACACCAATGTATTATAGTCAGTGAAAAATCGTTTTCCAGGACACTAAAACCTCACAGCGTTCAGTCTCTCGTATGGCATTGATGATGTTTCTGCTGTCCACAGACGGCTCATTCATGATAGTCGTCCTGCTAGCCAGCGCCTGCTCTCTCAATACTTTAACACCAGCATACCCTAGGACAAAAATTAAGGGGATTTTGCGAAACGCTGCATTCTGGTACATATTAGCCACTGTTTCTGTATATGACCTACCTTGATTGTCTGCATCATGGTAACAGAGTCTCTGATAAAGCATGCATTGGTGAATTCCTGATCTTTAAGCCATTCTGGGGTCTTTGTCACAGCCATTAACACTGTAGTAATGCTGCTGGTGGTAGAAGCCAGGGCACCACTGTCTTTGTTGACGACTTTTCCGTTAGCTCTTGCTGTAAAAGCAAATGTCTTTGACTCTGACAAATCACAGAATCATCTGAATGTATAACAAGAAATGAAGTCAATGAATTGTGACTAAGAAGCTTGACAGAATAGGAAAACAGAACAACGGGCACACCAAAACACTAATCGACGTTTTGGCTGGGGCCTTTCTATACATGGAATGAACTACACAGCAATAACAAAGGGAAGACTACTCCAACCACAAAAAGTTCAAGTTTGAAACTATAGAAATGGTTATGTGTAATGAATACAAT